TCAGCTCACTGCAATCTCACCTCTCAAGTTGAAATGATGCTCCTGCCTCAGCCTCCCAAGTAGCTGGGATTACAGGCAGCTGCCAACACGCCTGGCTAATTTTTGTATTTTTAGTAGAGACGGGATTTCACCATGTCGGCCAGGCTGGTCTCGAACTCCTGATCTCAAGTGATGTGTCTGCCTCAGCCTCCCAAAGTGCTGGAATGACAGGCGTGAGCCACCTCACTTGGGAGGTGGCTCTTTGGGAGGCTGAAGTGGGAGAATTGCTTGAGGCCAGGAGTTCATGGCCAACGTGGGCAACATAGGGAGACCCTGTCTTTACAAAAAAATTATCTGAGCATGTACCTGTATGTAGTCCCAGCTACTTGGGAGGCTGAGATGGGGGGGATCCCTTGAGCTACAGGAGATCGAGGCTACAGTGAGTGGTGAGATCATGCCACTGCACTCTGACCTGGATGACACAGGAAGAGGGGCATGTGAGCCTGTGGAGTGGTCTGACTCCAAAGTCAAGATTTGGCAAACTTCCATTCCATTTACTTAAGAATTACATATCCACAGAGGATGTTGCCTTTCAAGATGTGCCTAAACTAATGCACGTAACAGAATTGGCCACATAGATTACACAGTCCTTCCTTTGGGTGGAACAATGCAAACTAAATCTTCCTTGGGAAGCAAATGGCAATTTTTTTTTTTTTTTTTTTTTTTTTTTTTTTTTTTTTTTTTGGAGACAGAGTCTCACTCCATCGTGCAGGCTGGAGTGCAGTGGCACAATCTCGGCTCACTGCAGCCTCCGCCTCCCGGGTTTTCAAGCGATTCTCTTGCTTCAGCCTCCTGAATGCCTGGGACCACAGGCGCCTGCCACCATGCCTGGCTAATTTTTGTGTTTTTAGTAGAGACGGGGTTTCATCTTGTTGGTCAGGCTGGTCTCGAACTTCTGACCTCAGGTGATCTACCCGCCTTGGCCTCCCAAAGTGCTGGGATAACAGGCATGAGCCACTGTGCCCGGCCAGCAAATGGTACTTAAACCCAATGCCTGCTCTTTTGAGGGAGGATACACCTTAGATCATTTGCTTGTTAGGCTGGTGAAAACATCAAGACCACGTGGAAAGGCATTTGCTGGGTAACTCACAAGAAAGAGGAGTTCCAGACCAAGTGAACCTCCAGGTTTCCTGTCTGGTTCAGTCCAGTCCTTCCCACCTAGTGAATGTGCATGATTTGGGTGTGGACAGATGAACCGGCTGCAAGAGTAAAAAATTGGCCTCAATCCATCACTACCCACAAAGAGTTTCCATTAGTGAAACAAAGTTGTCAGAACGCTGGAACTTACTGTGTAATTGGATACAAATATTTTCTGTTTAATTTTTAAAAGCTAGTAATTTAGCTGAAATCCATAATGAAACAGTGACTTCCTCTCAAATCTCCCACCACCAGCTAATCAGCTTGCAGTTCAGTGTTACCATTCTCCACTTCCCACAAACACATAAAGCTTTATTAAGCTGTGGATGTTATTTAAAAATCAGTCTGCGTGTTTTTTGTTGTTCTCGTTTCTGTTTTTTCGAGAAAGAATCTCCCTCTGTCACCCAGGCTGGAGGGCAGTAGCCTGATCTCGACTCATTGCAACCTCCGCTTCTCAGGTTCAAGCAATTCTCGTGCTTCAGACTCCCGAGTAGCTGGGATTACAAGCGTACACCACCACGCGCAGCTAATTTTTGTATTTTCAGTAGAGATGGGGTTTCACCATGTTGCCCAGGCTGGTCTTGAACTTCTGACCTCAGGTGATCTGCCCACTCGGCCTCCCAAAGTGCTGGAATTAGTATTGTGAGCCACTGCTCTCCACCTGCATGTTGCTTTTTTTCTCAGAATAATTTGTAGCATAGCATGTTGCTTTTTAAAAACAATGTATCGTCCATCTATGCCAATAACTCCAGGTCTGGCATTCTTTCCAATGGTTGCATAATGTTCCTAAGTATAGCTATCCTATGATTTATTCAACCACATCCCTAACCGTGGATGATCGTGTTTCTAAAAAGCTAGTTTTTCAACCTTTGGAGCAGCTTAACAGCACTGGGCGCATAGGCTGGGTTTGGCTAGACAGGATTAGCGAAGGGGAAAAAGACTCATTACAAGCAGTTGCGTAGGCTGGAGATGCTCCCCTTGGCAGAAGGTCTGCGGACTTTCAGACGCCCGACCTCCTTGCCTGGCGGCCGGAGCGGGAGGCAGAGGGCGTGGCTTTCCCGCCGAGCTCCGCCGCGCCCCGCCCTCCCCGGGCCGCCTTCCACCTCCGGCCGCGTGGGGGCGCTCCCGGGCCGGCGCTGTTGCTGCCGCCGCCGCCCCGCCCACCCGGGCTCATCCCGCGCCCCGATTGGCTGCGCGGCGGGAGCGCGCCGAGTCAGGGGGCGGGCCCGCGCCCGCTACAAAGCGGCGAAGGTCACGGCGCGAGGAGGCGCGCGCCGCCGCTCCGCGTCCCGCCTGCGGCCCGTGCCCACGGCGTCGCCGCCGTCCGCCCGCCTGCCCTCCTGCCTGCCCGCCTGCCGTCCTTCCGTGCGGGGAGCCATGGAGGGAGTGAGCGCGCTGCTGGCCCGCTGCCCCACGGCCGGCCTGGCCGGCGGCCTGGGGGTCACGGCGTGCGCCGCGGCCGGCGTGCTTCTCTACCGGATCGCGCGGAGGTGAGTGCACGGCTCGGCCCCACGCGGCCCTCGGCGCCGCCCGCCGGGCCCGCCCCCGCGCCGCCCCGGCCCGCTGCCCGCCTCGGCGGGGACCCGGCCTGCTCGCGGGCGCGCGGAGACCCCCGAAGCGCGCCGCCGGCCCCAGAGACCGGGTTGGGACTGCGGTCGGGAAGCGGCTACGGAGTCGGGGGCGGGGCGGGGACTCCGGGAACGTGGGCTGCGGGCGGGAGCGCGGCGCGGGGGCCACAAACTTCCTCTGGGAGCCGCGCGGGGCTGGAGCCGGTGCGCGCGGGCCGCCCCGACCCTCAGCCCCACGCCGGGCCCTGGCGCTTACTGCTCGGCATGTGACGTCCCAGGTGTTTTCCTACACGCCTCACATCCGCGCGTTTCAGAGCCGCAGCCCTTGCTTCCCCTAGTGCAGCTGAGGGACAGGCTGAGTAAACTGACATTAATGAGAAGAATCATGGTTTGAGCCGATGGAGCCTGTAGGGTAGATCCCTAAGCTGGGCGGCCTCCCAGAGGTGGGCAAGGCCTGAGATGCTTCAAAGCCGTTCAAGAGGGGCCGGGGCCACCCTCATCCATGCCTGGCTCACGGGTCATGCGGGTCCCTGTGTTCAGATCCGACCTCTTATTTTTTTATTTTGAGACGGAGTTTCGCTCTTGTTGACCAAGCTGGAGTGCAATGGCGCGATCTCGGCTCACTGCAACCTCCGCCTCCCGGGTTCAAGCGATTCTCCTGCCTCAGCCTCCCAAATAGCCGGGATTACAGGCACGTGCCACCACACCCGGCTAATTTTGTGTATTTTTAGTAGAAACGGGGTTTCACCATGTTAGCCGGGCTGGTCTCGAACTCCTGACCTCGGGTGATCCGCCCTCCTCCTGCTCCCAGAGTACTGGAATTACAGGTGTGAGCCACCGTGCCTGCGCAGATCTGGCCTCTTTCATTGGCCTCCATCACCAGGGATAAAAGCTTCGTGGCCTCTTGCTTCAGCAGAGCCTTGCTGGTAGCTTACTGTTTCTGCACTTGATCCACCTTTCCAGAGGGCAGGGGGAAATTGGGGTTGTGAGAGCATCCTAGAAAGAGTGGGTGGAGGCCGGGCGCGGTGGCTCAAGCCTGTAATCCCAGCACTTTGGGAGGCCGAGGCGGGTGGATCACGAGGTCAAGAGATCGAGACCATCCTGGTCAACATGGTGAAACCCCGTCTCTACTAAAAATACAAAAAATTAGCTGGGCATGGTGGTGCGTGCCTCTGTAATCCCAGCTACTCAGGAGGCTGAGGCAGGAGAATTGCCTGAACCCAGGAGGCGGAGGTTGCGGTGAGCCGAGATCACGCCATTGCACTCCAGCCTGGGCAACAAGAGCGGAACTCCGTCTCAAAAAAAAAAAAGAAAGAGTGGGTGGGTTTGCAGCTTCTGCAAGGGATGCAGGAAGCTCACACACTTGGGTAGAAGGGGTGAAGGGACTTGCCAACTCAGCAGCAAGTGGCAGAGCTGAGATTTGAACCCTGACCATCTGGCTGCTGTGTTTGTTCTTCCTTAACACATAATCGGTGCTGCTTCTCTCCTCCAGGGGGAAAGCAGGGAAAAAGAATTGCAGGTGGTTGAGTCACAGGCTTCCCAGAGGAGGAAGGGATGGGAGGGGCATCAGTTGTGTCTGGTGGATGGGCCAGATGTGACTGAGGAGGGTAGGTGGGGGGTTGAGGGACCCCAGCCCATGGGTCCTTAACAACCCAAGTCTCTCTATGTCCGTTTCTCCTCGATTTCTGGAAACTGAGCATCTGTAGGACCAGCTGGTCCAAGCCGGTGGTTTTATACCCAGGGGACTGAGGTCCACAGACCTCAGGTGATTTGCTCAGATTCCCAGAGCATGTTGGCAGCTGAGCTGGTCCAGCACCTGGTGTTCTCCTGGACGATGCTGCCTCTCAGCTAACCCAGGATGGGGGATGTTGCCCCGAGGATCAGAGCCTGGGTGAGGGTGTGGCCTCCCAGCCACACAGCACCTCCGTTGTGTTTATTGAGGCTGGACACTGCAGCCATCCTCAGGGGTCCTGTCTCCCCTTCCTGCCCTGCTGGCCGCAGCTTTCCATCTCCTGGGAACAAGAGTTTGGGGCCTTGGAGAAGTATTGGACTAGCTGGTGCCTGGAAGTCCTTTCACGCCCCTGACGACACCAGCAGGTCATGGTGTGATGCTGGGACCCTGCTGTGGATTGGGCCGAGAAAGGTCAGCCCTTCCCAGGAGACTTTAAGATGTCCTCACAGAACACTGCATTTCGCCTGGCGGTCATATATTGGCCACTGTCACAATTCAGAAGCCACACCAGCCTAGCAAGAGGCTGAGCCTTCCTCCCTCCAAGGAGGAGAGTGCCATGCCAGCCAGGAAAGAAGCATGGACTCTGACTGCAGTGTGGGTTTTGAATGACCCTTGGGAAGGCGTGTAAGGAGAGCTGTTTTTGGAAGGCGACTTGGCTGGGTGGGTGTTTGCAGGCTCAGCATAGAGATGGCAGAGAGAAGGATGTAGAAGGAGCGGGCAGGTCAGCCCCTCCTTGTGCTTTAGGACTGGCAGAGGCACCTGGGGAGGAGGCCGCTTCTCTGAAGGACTGAGTCCTCCCACAGCCTCAGTCAGGGCCCACCCTGGCTCCCCCACACATGGAGTCCTCTCACCCCCATGATTGTTACTGATGGGAGCAGCTGATGACAACTGTAAGCACCGCACACTGTCGTCTCATGAAACCGCCAGGGCATGCCCTACTGTTTTCCCATTTTACAGATGAGGAAGCCAAAGCTTGGGGAGGTTGGGCTACCTGCCCCACATCATCTGGCTGTCGAATGGTAGGGCCCTGCCTCGCACCAAAACTTGTCAGCTCAGCTTCCAGCTCCGGGGCTTACAGAGCACTTTGACTGCTTCTCTGCACCCATGGGAAGCCACCAGGGTCAGCACAGTCAGGGGGCAGACCCCCCAGTTCCACTTCCCTGTGTCCAGGCCATTGTGAAGGCTGTGGCTTCCTAGGCCTCCCTGTTGCCTGGACGCTGCTGCTCGGGTGCCTGTCCTCAGCCCTTTTCAAACGGTGCCCAAGATCCATGCCCTGCCAGCACATCCCTGCACATACACCATCCTGCCTCCGAGGCTTTGTTGGTGTTTACCGGGATTGTCTCCTTTCTAGTATTTGGGGACAAAGAGGATGCAACCTCCCAGAGGATATGCAGCAGAGCCTCATTCTGAAGTCAGAGTCCCCTGTAATGGCCCCTCCTGTTTCCAGACTCACCCTTCCCACTCACTATCCTGCTGCGACACGCTCTCCCTGAGCGACCACTGCACCCTGGGCACACACTGGGTGGTCCCCTCCCTCTGCTGTTTGTCCTGCTGGCGAGCACAGCTGTGCTTCGGGGCGACAGCAGATGCACCGATTATTGGCCTCTGTCCTGTGGCATCTGTCACCAGCTGCCCTGTGAGGTCGTCACTCTTGCCTTGCTCATGTTGCATCTCTGCCAGCCTAGCGTGGTGCTTGCTAAACTGATGGGACGTTCCACTCGCACCACGCTGGGGTCTGTTCCCCAGAAGGGTGGATTTGGGGCGTTTTCCATCTTGGTGTTGGAGTTACTGCTGTGGATTTAAGTGTGTTTTCTTGGAGACGGGCTAGAGGCCTGGCAGTGCTACATTCTGAATTGCATTTTGATGCTGCTGTTGCTGAAGCCCAGGAGGCCCCTTCTCAGGTCCTTCTGGTTCAGTGAGACATGGCGTTGCCCACCTAAACAGGAAGTGCAGGCAAGGAGCTGCCTGGGAAGCTGTCCTGGGATGTCCTTGTCAGAGGCTGGCCTCTGGCTCCCTGGGTCCCTGCAGGAACCTGACTCTCAGTCTTTCCACCCCCACTGGAGCCAGCACATAGTGTCCAAGGTCCCAAGCAATGCACTGGGCCCCTGTCTGAGGAGGCTGTGATTTCTCATGGCTTGGCAGAGACTCTGGGAGGTGCCCAGCCTGCTATGGCCACTGAGCTCCCCAGGGCAGGGACAAAGCCCAATCCAGTGCCATTTCCAGCAGGTGTCCGATTCCTGACACGTTCCTAGGCCAAGGACCCAGGGCTAGGCTCACACCTAGAACAGAGCCCCTCCCACCTGCAGGGAATAGTGAGGTGTCGCGCGGGAGCTTTGTTTTAATATTTGTCTGGGCTCAGGAGTGGTGTCATCATTAGGGACACATGCCCATCTTGTTTACCCTCAGTGTGTGTGCTGGGCTTGTGGGCAGGGCGGGTACAGAGTGTGCAGCTACCCTACCCTGGCTTTTTCTGAGGGGCCCATCTCCCCTGGGCGACCTCAGGTTCCCCAGGGGCTCAGCATCAAGCTAACAGGAGCTGGGAGAGTGGCCTTCAGGCCCTCGTGTCTGCCCACCCAATGGGACCCATAGGCTCAGCTGCTGTCCCCCTAGAGCTGGGACCGTTGTGGGCAGGGGCAGCCCCTCCCGGCCGGAGTTCCTCTCTTGCTTGTGTTGCAGGGACATTCTGTCATGTCACCTTAAACCTTGTCCACCAACTATGGTCTGTCCCAGAGCCAAGTTGAGGACGGAGTCTGCTGGCTTGCAGAAGAGAAGTGGGCTGAGGATTTTCCAGGGAAACTTGGGGGCATCTCCCAGAGCAAAAGCAGGGCCCAGCCTAGGCTGGCTCAGAAGAGGTTGGCCCAGATGCTGCCTCAGCAGGCTTGGCAGAGGCCAGAGGCCAGGACTGCCCCCACCTGCGTGGGGACCTTGTCTGAGCCGTGGACAGTGTTTCACGTTCAGTCACGTGTCTGAAGCCGCCGAGCTGGCACCGGGGGGCCTGCAATTCATGCCCAGCTCCCCGTCACCCCCTCCCTACCTGCCTCTCGGGAACTTTCAGGGCTCCCCCTCAAAGGCACCGTGGGAAAGGACCCCTGGCAGGTAGGGCCCACCTGACCAAAGTGGTCGGCAGCTGCTCTGGCCCTGAGAGAGCCCACGCCCAACTCTGGCAGGGATTACCAAGGGCTGAGAGTGACAGGAGCTGGAGCCACTGGCCCCAGGGACAAGAACTAATCCCTTGCCTCCCCCTCCACTTCCAGCCTGGCTCATTCTAGATGAGTGGAGCCATTTCCCTAGCAACAGAACTGGAGATTCCGAGTGGAAACATGACTTTCTGGGGTGGGCGGGGCTTCATGGCAGGCGCCCTGGACCGAAGCCACAGTCCCTGCTCAGCTGTCATTGGTCCCCCAGGCAGGCTCAAGGGTTGACCTTCCTTTTCAAACAGTGTAAGAGAGCTGAGGCGCCCTTCGTGGGGACAGGAGGCCCATCACCCGAAGGCAGTTGGGTGCAGAGCCTTGTCCTGGCACAGGGCTCTGGGGTGGGGGGTCAGTAAGCAGGTCATCACCCATCAGGATACGCCCCCGTGCACAGATACAAAGAAGCCTGTGAAACAGGTAATTAGCACAGAGCAAGCCACACACTTAGTTGCTGGGAATGCTAGATTTGGGCCCTCAGCCCAGCAGCCCTCCGCATGTCCCAGAGCAGGGCTCCTGCGCTGGCTGTTTGTGTAGTCGGCGCCCAGTGGCGCTGTCCTAATGCCGAGCACTGAGGGCCTCCCTGCTTTCTCTCATGGGGTCCTCACAGTGGCCTCTCCTGGGGCAGGGATGCTCAGCAGCTCCCTTGGACAGGTGAGGGATGAGACGGTGGCCCCAGGAGGCAGAGCCGCTCCGAGGCCTTGTCCAGTGCCATGCCTAGCAGGCTGGCTCCGTTTTGTCGCTGGTCTGCAGGCCTCGCCTACTGTCTCCATGCTGTTGACAAGATGCAGCAGTCCCTGTGCACTGTGAGGGCTTGGGCCTGTGCTGGGGCAGGAGTGTGGGGTGAGAAGGGTGTGGGCCGAGACTGCTGTGGAGATGCCAACTGCCCTTGTGGGCCCTGGGCCTTCCCGGCGGGACCTGGTCCCAGCTCCCCTTTTCTCCCAAGCTTCCCCACCCTCCGTGTAACTAGGCTTTTTTGGGTATTACTCTAGGCCAGGCACTGTTAATGTCATACCACGAGCGGTCCCTTGTGAGGGAGTTGCTTTCGTCCCCAACTGACTGGTGATCAGAGACTCCCTTAATCTGCCCCTAGTCAGGAGAAGCAGGTGGAGGGGAGGGCGGGCAACCGCAGTGGTGTCAGAAGTGGAAGCCCTTCTTCCCAGGGCCCAGCCTCCCTTCCAGGCCCCTGAAGAGCTAGCTCTTTGCAGAATGCACCTTTCTGTCTTACATCACTGCACCCTTGCAGCATGCAGAAGTCGGGGGTGCTGTGGTTGCCCCCACTTCACAGACGTGGGCACTGAGGCTGAGAGCGCAGGAACCTCCTGGGGCTCTGTCCTCCTTTCTCTGAGCAGCGCCTCAGGGTGAAAGGCCAGAGGGCCATGCTTTCTGGTCCTGTGGACGGGGTGCCGAATATGTAGGGGGAGAGGCTGCCGACTGTGGCAGGGGCCCAGGCATTGCCCTCGAGCTGGAAGTGGCCGCTGGGGGAGAGATGGGGATTAGGAGTGGCAAGGCTGGGGCACTTGTCTAGGGTAGAAGGGGGCCCAGAGCATGGATCCCCCAGTGTCTGGGCTGGGATTATCCCGAGGCCCCACCTGTCACCACACCTGTGGCCAGCAAGGGCCGCTGTTCCTTCCACCAGAGAGGGTTGGCCCCAGCCTGGGCAGCTGTCACTTGCTCCCTCCCCTCAGCCTCCTTTGCTCTCACACCCTGGGACTCGGTCTCTCTCTCTCTCTCTCTCTCTCTCTCTCTCTCTTTCTCTCTTTCTCTCTCTTTTTCTCTCTCTCTCTCTGTGTCTCTCTTTCTCTCTCTCCCCCTGTGTGTCTGTCTGTCTCTCTCTCTCTCTCTCTCTCTCTCTCTCTGGAGCACAGGAGACCCCTTTCAATCTGGAAGCTCCGTGGAGTGCACTGTTTCTGCAGCCCAGGGTGGAGGACCTCGTGGGGGAGGGGTGGTCCTAGAGCCTGGTCCCAGTCAGCCCTGTGGCCTGGTGGGCCCTGGCCCCTATTGCCTTCCATGTGTGAGTCCCAGGCCACCAGGAACTGGTGACCCTGTGTCCCCCTGCGGCCACGCTGGTGTCTAGGGATCTGGTGAGGCTCCAACTGGCCTCCTCCCCTTGAAGGCTGAGAAGCCCAAGTTGGCCTGGCCTCCTCGGTGGACGCAGCTGCTTCCAGTCTGCGTTCATCTCCCTCAGAGCCCTTGTTCCTCCTGCCAGCCTGGGGCCCACATCTCCAGCTTTGCGTCCCCAGATCCCAGTCCCGGCACCCTTTCCCTGGTGGCCCTGGGGCAGGGTATGGAGGTCCCCTCCAGCAGGTGCTGGGGTCTTCCAGGCTGACCCACTCTTTCCTTGGTCCACAGGATGAAGCCAACGCACACGATGGTCAACTGCTGGTTCTGCAACCAGGACACGCTGGTGCCCTACGGGAACCGCAACTGCTGGGACTGCCCCCACTGCGAGCAGTACAATGGCTTCCAGGAGGTGTGGGGCCAGGCAGGCGGGCGGGCATTCGGGGGTGGGGATCCAGGAGGTGTGGGGCCGGGGGGTGGGTGGGTGGGGGATCCTGAGATTTGCACCTTGAGGCCACCCTCTTCCCCTGCATGCCCTGAACGTGGCGTTTTGTGTACTTTGTCCCGCTGGATTCTCACTACTGCCCTGGCGCTGCACCCTCACTTGAGGAGGAAACCAACGCAGGCAGATTTGGGGCTCACGCCCAGATCTTTCTGGCTCTGCATCTCATTCTCTGTACTAGATCAGGGCTAGCAAACCTTTTCTGCAAAGGGCCAGATAGGATTTTAAGTTTTGCAAGTCGTTTGGTGTCTGTCACAACTGCTAACCCTGTCAAGCCACTGTAGATAACACAAGAGTAAATTAGCCTGGCTGTGTCCCAATAAACCTTGATGGCAGAAACAGGCAGCTGGTCCACAGGTCACAGTAGGCTGTCACCTGGAGCAGACCAGGGTTTGCAGACTGAGTTCTGAGAGGGTAGGGCTCTGAGGATGCGTGCTGGCTAGAGCATGTGGGTGGGTGGCGGGGCTGGAGGCCCTGCTCTGTGCTGGGCTGGGTGGCTTCACTGGACCTTCGGGTTTCATGGAGATGTCGTGAGAAGAAAACCAGCTGCTGTTCTGTGCAAAACAAAAAGAATGGAGATGTGTGAGATCCACCGCCACCTGCCTGGAGCGGCCCCCCAGGGACATCACCAGGCCTGAGGCAGCTGGGAAGGCCTGCCCCACCCAGTGGGGCTCCCCGCTGACCACGAATCCACCTCTCTCCCGCAGAATGGTGACTACAACAAGCCGATCCCCGCCCAGTACATGGAGCACCTGAACCACGTGGTGAGCAGCACACCCAGCCTGCGCGACCCGTCGCAGCCGCAGCAGTGGGTGAGCAGCCAGGTCCTGCTGTGCAAGAGGTGCAACCACCACCAGACCACCAAGATCAAGCAGCTGGCCGCCTTCGCTCCCCGAGAGGAGGTGAGGCCGGGTCGGGATGAGAGCGGCCCTGTCTGGGGCCAGGGATACTTAGAGCAGCGGGGGACAGGCACATGCTGGGTGCTGGCTCTGGGCCTCTGGCCCCTGCTCTGCCAGACAGCGGCTTTTCTGTCCTGTGTGCCCAAAGGGCCCCCCTCACCCTGGCCGCTGCCAGCACATTCCAGGGTGTGTGAGTTCTGTCCCCATTGGAGCTGAGCTGCTTCTCCCCGTGTCTTATGGTCACTGTCCTCTGGGTTCCAAGCCTAGGAACACTGTGGAAACCTCAGCACCTGCCAGGCCAGAGGAATTTTCCCTGGACAGTGGGAAAAAGGGGCCTTGGGCTCCAGGTGGGGCCCTGTTGGATGGACCCACCCTGTCCTGATTCTCTGCATTAGTCTTGCCTTCTGGCGGCCCTGGCAGTCTGCTGTGGGGTTGGTGGAGGGTGCCTCTGGCTTCTGGGAGGAGGAAAAGGAAGCTAGACACTGCTGAGAGGCTTGGCATTAGGAGGTGGGCCGAGCCGGGAGCCTCGCCTCGCCTGTGCCCACTGTGGCATCCAGGAGCCCTGCTTCCTGGCTGCTCCTGCCTGCCCTCGGCCATCCCAGGGAGTCCTGGCACCACAAGAGGCAGGTCCCAGCTGGGGCCTAGAGACACTGGCTTTTCTGGGGTCCAGCCTGGGAGGGAGGGAGAACAGAGATGAACTCAGGCCGAGGCAGAGATGGGAACCTGCGGTAGGGGAAGGCAGGGCTGACTTGGCAGCCAGGCACCTTTTCGGTATGCTTGGTCCCAGCAAGAAATCATACTTATGACCTCTCGAGCCTGTAGGCCAAAGAGTTTGCTCCCTCAGAAACAGGGAGGGAGAGGTGCATTGCTCCATGTCTGAGGGGAGAGAGGGAGGGGACATGTTTTCTGGGCTATTCTGGAAGCTGAAAGAAACCTTTAAAGCAGCAGGCCTGGCCAGGGGCTCTCTAGCATTCAAAGGGAAGGGCCAGCACCATGGTCTGGGTTGTCTGTCAGCCCAAGCCCAGGCTGTGTCACCCCGCAGCTGCCTTCCCCTGCATTCACCCAGCTTCCTGGAGGTCTGCGTGTGGGGAGCAGGCCCTGAGTCCTGGCCTGCGGGTGCCTCCCTGGAGCAACAGAACCTCGTTAGCGTCCCCATCACCTGTGGGCCCTGCCCTGGAGTGGCTGTCACTCCTGGCAGCCCACATGACCGTATACAGTGGGCATTTGTCCTGTTGGGCAGAGGGGAAGCAGGTTCAGAGTAGGGTCAGCTTGTCCCCAGTCACCCTCCTAGTAAGTGGCAGGTCAGGATCTGATTCCATGTCTGACCTGTAAGGCAGAGGCAGCTCAGCCACCCCTCAGACGCGAGCCTGTTCCCCCCGCCCCCCGCAGGGCAGGTACGACGAGGAGATCGAGGTGTACCGGCACCACCTGGAACAGATGTACAAGCTGTGCCGGCCGTGCCAGGCAGCCGTGGAGTACTACATCAAGCACCAGAACCGCCAGCTGCGCGCCCTGCTGCTCAGCCACCAGTTCAAGCGCCGAGAGGCTGACCAGACGCATGCGCAGGTGGGAGGCAGCATCCACAGAGTGGCGGAAGTGCTGAGTTTGTTCAGGAAACCCTCCCAGAGGGCTGGGCCCCAGTGACCAGAGGGTAGCTCTTCAGAGCTGAGCCCCTTTAATTTTTATTTATTTATTAATTTATTTTTTTTCTGAGACACAGTCACATTCTGTCACCCAGGCTGGAGTGAAGTGGCGTGATCTTGGTTCTCTGCAACCTCCTCCTCCCAGGCTCAAGGAATTCTCCTGCCTCAGTCTCTCCAGTAGGTAGGATTATAGGCATCTACCACCTCACCCGGCTAATTTTTGTATTTTTTTCATAGAGACTGGGTTTCGCCATGTTGGACAGGCTGGTCTTGAACTCCTAAACACAGGTGATCCACCAGCCTCGGCCTCCCAAAGTGCTGGGATTACAGGTGTGAGCCACCACGCCTGGCCAAGCTGAGCCCCTTTACTCTGGGGAAGCAACATGCCCATGGAGCCACCTCCCTACCCTGACCCCAGGCCCTTCATGTCATTAGCCAGGCGGGTGTTCCCTGGAGAGTGACTGGTAGCACCATGCGTTTGTTAGGTACGTATCTGAGCATGGGTTTTGGGGTAGCCCTGCTGTTTCTGAGCACTTTCCTGGAACTTGCATTCGTCTGCCTAGCCGCCTTGGTAATGCACTCTTAGGCCCTGGACCCATTTACAGCTATGGAAACCACACTCAGGAAAGCTTGCACCAGGCCGTTGTCTAAAGCCCACACCTGGTATGCAGTGGCCCCAGGGTTTGAACCTGGAACCATCTGGCTAAAACTAATTGTTGTCATATTACTCAGTTGAGGGAATATTCTGTTCGTTTAAAAAATCAGATATGGGAGCGAGGTTAAGGAAAATCTGGAGGCCGAGGTGGGCAGATCACCAGGTCAGGAGATCAAGACCATCGTGGCTAACATGGTGAAACCCCGTCTTAAAAAAAAAGGAAAATCTACCCGGACAAAGAAACTCCTGTCCACCCCTTTGTGTCCCCAGATGTGACCTGGGTCTGACTGGTATATGGTTTCCAGTCTGTGGCTGGGACATAACCACGCCACCTCTGCCCTTCCACACGTTTGTGTGGCCAGGCACCAGGTGGACCCTGTCGTGGGACCTTTGGTTCTCATTCTGACTGCCTCGTTCCTGGCTTGAATAACTTACTACTGTACTTTTAAGGTTAACTTGCCACAGTTACCTGTCCATTTGTGTCAGTTCCAGTTAAAATAACAATAGGAATTTTTGGTGAGAACTCAAGAAAACAATGGAGAAACGCTTATTTGGAGGCCAGACACAGTGGCTCACGCCTGTAATCCCAGCACTTTGGGAGGCCAAGGCGGGTGGATCATTTGATGTCAGGAGTTCAAGGCCAGCCTAACCAACATGGTGAAACCCCGTCTCTACTAAAATACAAAAATTAGCCAGCTGTGGTGACATGCACCTATAGTCCCAGCTACTTAGGAGGCTGAGGCAGGAGAATCACTTGAACCCAGGAGGCAGAGGTTGCAGTGAGCCGAGATGGCACCACTGCACTCCAACCTGGGCGACAGAGCGAGATTTTGTCTCAAAAACAATATAAATACAAATAAAACATATTTGGAGAAATAAGGTCACTACAATATGGAGAGACTTCTTAAAGGAGAGTGTGGTAGGGCAGCACTCCTCCTCACCCAGAGGCTCGCGGGCCAGTGGAACTGAGCCCAGGATGTGTGGGAACGTGGGTCCAGCCAGAACCCCACACAGAGTGGCATCAGTGATGGCAAGGGGTGGCTCCGTGGCCGTCTCACTAACCTGCCTCTCTTCCTCCTTTGCAGAGCTTCTGCTCCTCCGCTGTGAAGTCCCCAGTCCAGGTCATCCTGCTCCGTGCCCTTGCCTTCCTGGCCTGCGCCTTCCTACTGACCACTGCACTGTACGGGGCCAGTGACCCCTTTGCCCCAGGTGCCACCGTGCCCTTGGCCCTGCCACCTGGTGGCAATGACTCAGCCACACCTGACAATGGCACTGCCCCTGGGGCTGAGGGCTGGCGGCAGCTACTGGGCCTGCTGCCCGAGCACATGTTGGAGAAGCTGTATGAGGCCTGGGCCTTCGGGCAGAGCCATCAGACGGGCGTCGTGGCGCTGGGCCTGCTCACCTGCCTGCTGGCAATGCTACTGGCGGGCCGCATCAGGTGTGTGTGGGGCCGGGGCCAGCAGTTTGCGGGAGGGGAACTGTGTGCTGGATCACTGCCTAGGGCAGGGGCCAAGAGACCCCATGGGGTGCACAGCCCTAGGCTGAACTCCACCATGTCGCTAGTACAAGGCTTGGTCCCAGGGGCTGGGAGTCATTGGTTAGGTAAGGCAGCATGGCAGATGCCGTCTAAGTCAACCCCCTGCACACCTGCTGTGAGCTGGGGCCCAGTTACCTCCTGTTTCCTCCTCCGGCTCTGTCAGGGTGATGATAACCACCTGCCTCCTGTGTTGTGGGGGCTCACATGGGAGGCTCTGGGGTTCCCTGAGTGGGAGCATGCCTTGTGACTGCTGTGTCCACATTGCCCTTCCTCACTGGTCTTATCCTGCCCTCGGTGACCCTGTTGCTTCCTTTCAGGCTTCGGAGGATCGACGCCTTCTGCACGTGCCTATGGGCTCTGCTGCTGGGACTGCACCTGGCCGAGCAGCACCTGCAGGCCTCGCCCAGCTGGCTGGACACGATCAAGTTCAGCACCACGTCTTTGTGCTGCCTGGTTGGCTTCACAGCGGCAGTGGCCACAAGGAAGGCGACAGGCCCACGGAGGTTCCGGCCCCGAAGGTCAGAGAAGCAGCCGTGACTGCGGGGGGAGGACACGCAGATGCACAGGCCCAGGCTCTCCCGGTCCGAAGCGGCCCCTCTCTGCCCTGCCTCTTCTCACCTGGTCACTCCGTCCCACCCCCAGCCTTGAGCCCCAGGTCCTGGCCCAGCCCCTCCACTGCCTTGAAGAGTCAGTCTGCCCCCCTTTTCCTTTCTGGTACCACCACGATCCCCGAGTCTCCTGTAGTTACTCGCCACCACCGCCACCTCTCTGGCCAAGGCCCTTTCACCGTCCTGGTGACTGGAACGTGGGTAGCACCCACACAGGCTCTGACCCATGGCTTCCTGCTGGCAGCTCTGGGCACCCCCCACACACACACCATGCCATTTTCTGGCTCTGACACTGTTGGGGGAGGTGCCTGGTTCTGCTGTCTTCCCCTCTGAGCCCTGGCACAGGGCTGGTGACAGTGGCTGCAGGCTGGGTCCCTGGCATGCCCTGACCGTGCAGCAGAGTGAGCCAGGGATAGCACAGAGCCCACACCTCGCCCCCACTTAGCACCTTCGGTCTGTCCCCTTGGTCCTGCTTGTGGCCGAACTGGCCCTGCCGGAGGTGGTGGAACTGTGAAGGATTCAGGGCTGTGGCTTGGCCTCCTGCTCTAGGACCCTCCTGAATCCCCAGGGATGGAGAGTGTGGTTCTTGGGCCCAGCCTGGCCTTTGCCTTGAGTTTGGGGAGCGAGAGCCTGCCTGAGACGGGCAGTCGGAGCCTGTGCTGATGTTAGGCAATCTGAGGTTTTCCAAGGGTAAGGGGCCCAAGGCATGCAGGACCTCAGTAACATCAGGTCGTTGTCATCCTGTCCCGCCCTGGCCTGTCATGAGCCTCCCCGGGCCCTGGCAGTGGCTCACTGAGGCTGTCCAGCCTCCTGCTCTCCATGGCCCTCTGGGGCTGCTGCAGCCCACATGGCCCAGCCCCACTCTGTCCTCCAAGTCGGGGGAGGGGGCAGCCCGCAGACCCCCTTCTCAATAACAAGGCCTGGCCAGGTCCCAGCTGTTCCCAACCTTCAGTTTGCTGTCTATGAAATGAGGCAGACCCACCTCCAGAGCCCTTAGCTGCCAGCCTCAGTGGGGTGGGGATCACATAAGGTGGCTCATGAAGATACGCTCTGGAGGTCAAGGGGCTGCCACGTACAGAGGAAGTTCCCGGCCTGGGGGTGCCAGTCCAGAGTGGCCTGAGGCCGTCCCCTGCTGGGCACGTTCCCTCTGGCTGTGCACTCCCTCAGGGCCAGCATGTCCTGCCGCTCGGCTTCCGGCTGTGGCCGGGGTATGCCAGCTGTTCTCCTGTGCATTGGAGCCTGGGGGAGGCAAGAGCAGATCACAGGTGCATGAGGGTCACACCTGCCACCTGGGTCTACAGGGATGGAGGGGGCAGCTGCTGGGCCCCACTGATGTGAATCCACCACACCTGGGGGTCTCAGAGGCTGCCCCATCCCAGTGATTGGGTGGCAGCTCGCACTGTGCAGTTTCACAAGTGAGGAACCCAGGTGCATCGGGGGACCCTCAGGGGCTTCTGTGGCCTCTGTGCACAATGGGCTGTGTGGCTTCAGACAGGACTCAGCTTGTTCTGTGTGGAGCGTGAGGTGAAAAACCCCTCTGAAAAGCTGTGGATGGGGTCGTGCTTCCCGCTGGTTCTGCGGTGAGGAGTGTGGGGTTGAGCCGAAGTGGCCCTCAGTGGTGTCCGTCTGAGGGGCAGAAAACCGCCTGCCTGTCCATTCACCCTGCCTCCCACCCGAAAAGAACCCATCTGAGGAGGACGTGGCGGAGCCAGGGCAAGAGGAGGACGTGGCGGAGCCAGGGCAGGAAAGCGTCCTGTGGGCGGGGCGTGCCATTGCTTGCGTCTCAAATCTTCGGTTCTCGAGGAAGTGTTGACAGTGCGATGCTAATTTCTGCTTTTCTTGGCATTGGGTAGAAGCAGGACATCTGTGTGTATGTGTGTATTTAAATTAGATTATTTATAATAACCAGAGCCAGCCCTCGCGCTGGCCGGGATCCTCCTGCCGAGTTGATGGCACTCCTGCCCTCTGCTGGGGACCAAAACGACATCTCAGGAGGTGTCTCTCAGCTGAGTGAGGATTCCTGCCTTTTTTAGAGTTTGGCTTGACTTTTTAAATTATCCATCTGTCCCTTCAAGTTACACTACGTGGAGAAAATGCTAGCACCTTCGAGTGTTGGGCAGTAGCTGAGGGAGTGCAGGCACTGCTGTGCTGTGGCTTGTTGACCAGGCATGTGTCACCCCTGCCAGGGACCTCTTCTCCTTGCAGGGGACTTGGGAGGGCCAGGCCATCAGACCTTCCAGAGTCCAGGTGGGGTCATCCTAGGTATGGGCGACCATCCCTGAGACATGAGTGAGGTAGATTCAGCCATACCCTCAGACCTGGGGCCCCTACCCGGGTGGAGCAGGCTCCCCGTGCGCCTTGCCCGGGAGCAAACCACTACGACGCTGCCTCCACGCCGCACCTGCCACGCCCCACCCCGCCCAGGAAAGAACCCGTGACCTTTCTGTCTGTGACTGTTGCCGAGTCTCTGTCTCGTGTTGTAGAATTGTGGATAACTGTCTAGTGACCCTCTCATCACTGTAACCATCGCTCCCGGCCTAGATGTCGTGTTTTGGATGCCGTGTCTTCAATAAATGCCTCTGGGGCCCTGCTTTTACCCGCTGGCGTCAGGTCCCGCGTCTTTCTTCTTTTTCGTTCTTTCAGAAGGGCTTCTGTGCCAGGGCTGGGGTGGACGACTGTGTTTGGGGTATAGACACATCAACAGGAGTCAGGTTTGGGAGCCAGTGACAATGACACCGGCTGGCTCAGGGGGCCCGGCTCGCCTCGCTTGCCTTTCTGGATCATATTTTCTCCGTCTCAATAAACTGCTGCTTAAAACATGGTCTCTCTCCTTCCACTTTTGACGTGGGCTGGGATTGGATCAGAGAAGACCAGACGCCTCCCCTTGGTGTCAGATGAGTGTGACTAGGGCGCTCCCCAGGGCAGCATCCTGGCCTGATCCTGGGCTCTTAATCCCTCCCTGAGACGAGGTTTGAGGGTACCGGGCAGTCTTGGGGGACCTCTCACCAAAGGAAATGTCAGCAACTTTGGAGTTCCCCAGGGCCCAACAGATTGGGCGCCTTTAGCTGGGGGAGGCTCGCTGGGGTCCCCGTGCAGAGCCTAGCCCCTCATGCGCAACCCTGCAAGCGATTTACCAGGTCTTGCTCACTGAGTGATGCTCCCACATATCACAGTGAGGGGTCAGACTGCCAAGGAACTCCCGACAGCACCATCTTCAGTGGCACTAAACTGGGAACAACAGTACCTGTGCCAGGCGGTCAGGAGATTCAGCTTTTAAGCACTGAGGCAGCCCCAGGCAGGGTGAGCAGGAGCTGGGAAGAGTGCGGACATGCTGGCAAGACCCAGCCACTCCTGCTGGAGCCCACCCTGGGGGCCGGGAGCCGCGGGGCTCAGCTAGCCACCTCAAACCCATAGCCCACTAGGACCTTCCTCTCATTCGTCCCCCAACGGTGCTCACAGATCACTGGGGGTGCTGGTCACCCTTGGCTGACTCTTGGCTACATCTGAGCTGCCGGGTGGAGGGGGCACAGGAAGCCCAGCGCAGAGCTCTGCTGCCATCTGCTGGGGGGGCCTGCTCGAGGCCAGAGTCCCGCTGCCCCACAAACACCCTCCCACAGAGGATCATGCCCCAAGGTCCCAGCCACACCTTTGCTGCCCCTGCCTAAAGTGTCCTCAGGACCATTCCCTGAAGTCACAGCGCTGTCCTGCCAAATGCTACCACAGTTCTAATGAGACAACAGAAAATCTCATCTTCTGTGTAGAGGTGGAGCCTTCCCTGCAGTCTTGGGGCAAGGCAGTGGGCACTGGGCCTGGGAAGCACTGGTCAATGGATGGGGCATGTCTGTGTCCGGTCCGGCTGACCGGCCCTTCCCCAGGGTCCCCAGCTCAGCTTCTGCCTTGATGCCCACATTCCCCGAACGCTAGGCCTCACCTTTGATTGCGAAGTCCAGGTAACCTCCTGGTACCTTGGAAGGCATTAGAAAGGTCACACGAGTCTCCAGGAAGTCACAGCTGACCCCTCACTTTCCTTATACAACTTTTTTAGAGGGAAGCTAGCTGGGAGGTTGGTGGCATGTGGCTTGGCATTCGGTCGTGATGGGCATGGGTCCCTTAGCCAGCCCCGGCTCCTGCAGGGCCTGGGCCAGCCTGTCCGCTCACCAGCACGTTGTCCGCTGGGCTCATTTGTCCCTTGGCACCGAGGTAAGGCTGGACCCCCGCAGCTCCATCCAGACGGTGGACTAATGTATTAACTGCCTCCGTCCCCCTCTCCTTTCTGTAATCGGGTGCCTTAATCAGAAGCATGGTTGACGTTCTGGCGTGGGGCCATCGGGTCCTGTTGTGTGATTTGTACCATCTCAAGTTAAAGAGACACTGTCACCTTCCGTCTTGCGGGCAGCCTTGTGGTCGTCGATGGGTCTTTTTAAGTTCAGCTTTGGTGTCGTCCCGTGAGAGCCTCTTCTAAGGGATTCCAAGGCCTGGCTGCCCCTGAAGATCTGCTGTACCAGGAAATTTAGAGGAGTTTCTGGAGTGCGAGGCCAGAGAGCAGGAAGGAGACTTCCAAGGGCAGAGCTGTGGGAGGACTTCAGGAATCACGCCTGGGAGCAGAGTGCTGGGGCCTGACTTCCTGTGATCCTGGCCCATCTGGGAGATGAGCCAGGGTATCCCTGAGCCTGGCCACTCTGTGAGGAGGCTCTGGGCACAGAACAAGAAATGGCAAGGAGCCCAAGTCCATTAACCTTCATTGAGTGCCTAGCATGGGGCTGGGCATTTTTGCTTCAAGGCAGAGGGGTTGGCACGAGGTTGGCAAGGGCGACAGTGTCACTTTAATACCGAGACTCGTAGTGGAGATAGTTTGCTGTGAGCCAAGGGGTAGGAGGGGGCATGCGGGGAGGGCTGGGTCTCACTGGCCCCTCCCAGCCACCCGCTCCTAATGGCATGAATGTGGTTGAATTGCTTTTCTGCTTTAACTAACGCACGCCTCCTCTGGGACCCCAACTTAGGCCCCCGCCTTGCACCGTGGGAGAGGGGTGGGACTCGCTGCCCAGGGCTTCCTCTAGGACCTCGCTGACCCTCTTCTTCTCCCATGCCTGACGGGCCCTTGCAGGTCCTTCCCAGGAGACTCTGCTGGCCTCTTCCCCACCAGCCCCAGCCTGGCTATCCCTCACGTGAGCGTCGGAGGCTCTCCAGCGTCTCTGTTCATCCCCAGCCCGCCCAGCTTCCTGCCTCTCGCCAACCAGCAGCTCTTCCGGTCTCCTCGACGGGCCTCGCCCTCCTCATTGCCCGGCCGCCTCAGCCGGGCCCTCTCGCTGGGAACAATACCCTCTTTGACTCGAGCAGGTAATGGATTCCCAGGCATTGGCAGACAGGGCTGGGGGCAGCTGGGACAGAACTGTGGGTGGGTACATAGCATAGGGAGGGCCAGGAAGGGTTAGTGTTCCTGCTACAGAGACAGGCCGAACGGAACTTTGAGCCTCAGTTTCCCCACAAAGAAATGGGGCTACCTAGGCATAGGTGGCTCATGCCTATAATCCCAGCACTTTGGGAGGCGAAGGTGGGAGGCAGGCTTGAGGCTAGGAGTTCAAGACCAACCTGGGCAACATAGGGAGACCCTGTCTCTATGAAAATTTTTAAAAATTTACCGGGCACCGTGGCATGCACCTATAGTCCCAGCTATTTGGGAGGCTGAGGTGGGAGGATCACTTGAACCCAGGAATTGAAGCTGCAGTGAGCTATGATCATGCCACAGCACTCCACCCTGGGCAACAGAGCAAGACCCTGTCTCAAAAAAATAAAAGTGGGGCCGGGCGCGGTGGCTCACGCCTGTAATCCCAGCACTTTGGGAGGCCGAGGCGGGTGGATCACAAGGTCAAGAGATCGAGACCATCCTGGTCAACATGGTGAAACCCTGTCTTTACTAAAAATACAAAAAATCAGCTGGGCATGGTGGCACGTGCCTGTAATCTCAGCTACTCGGGAGGCTGAGGCAGGAGAATTGCCTGAACCCAGGAGGCGGAGGCTGCGGTGAGCCGAGATCGTACCATTGCACTCCAGCCTGGGTAACGAGAGCGAAACTCTGTCTCAAAAAAAAAAAAAAAAATAATAAATAAATAAATAAAAGTGAAGTGCCCAGAATTGTCACATCAGCTGGGAAGCCCAGCACAGTCCCTGAGTCCCAGCTCTGGTGACGTGACCTTGACTAGGTGCGTGCACCGTGCCATGCCTGATCTTTTCCTCTAAAATTGGAACACGCCCCTCAGCAAAGGGGGCCGCTGCAGTGATTCTGGGGGAGGAGTTGCTGATAACAGCAAGGCCCTCTCCTCTCGTGTGGTTCAAGGGCAGGCCATTTGTACACGCCGAGGTTGATATTAGGATGGTTTTGCTTTTCCCCTAAGCAGAGATAACCCCCCTGTTTTCAGTGCACCCAGCCTGGTGGCACTTGAATGGAACTTGGGGTGGGAGGTGCCAGGAGCAGCCCTGCCCTGGGCCTGAGCACTCCAGTGGAGGTGGCGGAGCTCAGGGACTTCTGTTTCAAGCCCTTTAGGAGGGGTGTGGCAGTCCCAGGGCTGGTTCAGGCCTCCAAGACTGGGCCCTCTGCTCATAAAGAGGAACAGGCAGTCAGTCTCCCTGTTGAGGCTCAAGGCAAGGACACAGGACGGCCTGTCTGGGGTGGCAGCAGAGGTCTGCGGGGCACAGGCTTGTCTCACAATGTCCAGTGACAGACAGGATCACAGTCTCCATGGCCAGGGTGGGTTGGAGGGAGGAGTTCTTAGAGACATGCTGGGCCAGGCTGCAGCACTGTGGCCAGAATGCAGCTTGCTGCTTCCCTCTGTCCTCACTCTGCTCCTCTGCACACGCCTCACCCCTGCGCCCTGCAGCCCATGCCTGGCAGGAAGATGGCTTCTCCCAGCATCCACAGAATGGGTTCTAGAAGGACCTGGCTGGTGTGCTGGGGTCATGTGAGCACCCTTCCCCAGCCTGTCCCCTGGCCCGGTGAGGGGAGGGTTACCTGGGTGCTGCGAAAAGACCCTTTGGTGCCCGCAGGCGGCAACAGGACACGAAGCAGCCTCCGGGTCCCTCGTTCAGCTCTCAGCCAGCCACTTAGAAACGGGGCCCCTGCTCTTGGGGTGCATGTGCCTCACTTAGGAAAAGGCAGCGTGGTCGGTGTTCTCTGGGGTGGAGTCTCGGGGTCTGCCATGAGTGGAGAAAGTGGGACTCGATGGCTGGAAAAGCAGGGCCTTGGAAGAAGGGCACGGAACAAGGAGTGGGCATTATGCCCGGGGCCGACTCTTCCCACCCGCCACAAGCCTCAGTTTCTTTCTCTGCAAAAAGAGAGTGTGCCCAGCACCCTCAGATGGCAGTCCAAGGGACCCGTGAGCACCTGTGTTTTCGTGAAAGTGCGTTTGTAAACAGCAAAGTCTGGGTTGGGATTTCAGCAGAGCATTTGTGGGGGCCTCTACGCGTCATCCACAGGCCTGACGTGTCACCTCTTCTGTCTGTCTCCAGACTCAGGCTATCTGTTCAGCGGTAGCCGCCCACCATCTCAGGTGTCTCGATCTGGGGAGTTTCCTGTTTCAGGTGAGGAGGACAGATCGCTAGGTGGGGGGCAGGGGACAGCATGAAACAGGGCTTTCCAGAACACCATGGTTGTGTAAGCCTCTGGGTCAGACAGACCCCGTGTGTGTGTTCACACCTCAGCCCTGGGCCGGTGACCCACACACCTGTGCCTCAGTTTCCTCTTGCACAAAATGGGAATGACAGTCGCCAGGATCAGATGATATGACACTGCTCTACCGTCGTCACCGGTAGTCAGGACTGGAACTGGCGTACCAGGTGCCAGCTGGCAGCAGGGCCTCGGGCGAGCTGGCCTTGCATCTCCAGGGTTTGCTGCTGTCTGGCCTTGCTCTCAGCTGAGGATGGTGCCTGGGGCTTTGGATGGAAATCAAGGGCAGGGGGGCCGTGACTGAGGCTCCAGGACCTCTCCCCTCCCTTGGGTGCCTGGTCGGGGGCAGCCCTCTCCTCCCTCAGCTTTACATCAGCTTCCCTTGCCCCCAGTCTCTGTACCTTTCCTTTCTTCCGGGTTAATAGAAGAAAACCCCCATTAATGAAATAGCATGTCGTAGCGCTGCCGTGACAGGAGCCCACGTTCGCATCATCTTCCTCTCTCGCTCCCTCCAGATTACTTCTCTCTGCTGTCAGGGAGCTGCCCCTCCTCTCCGCTCCCTTCCCCGGCGCCCTCCGTGGCCGGCTCCGTGGCCTCCAGCTCCGGCTCTCTGCGCCACCGCAGGCCCCTCATCAGCCCTGCCCGGCTCAACCTGAAGGGACAGAAGCTGCTGCTGTTCCCGTCACCCCCTGGAGAGGCTCCCACCACACCCAGCAGCTCCGATGAGCATTCGCCTCACAACAGCAGCCTCTTCACCGTGGAGCCGCCCCAGGTGTCCCGGAGGCCACCCCTGCAGGACACGAAGCACGCCCTGGGTACGGCCTTCTGACCACCCTGAGGGGCCGAGGGAGGGCCTCTGCTGCCAGGAGGCCTGGCTGGGGGCCTCGGTGGGGGGTCTTCCTTCCTCCGACTCCAGCGTGCACCTTCCCACTCTGGAGCTCTAGGCACCCCCCTCTGGCTCTAGTGACTCGAACCCTCTCGGACATTGCCCTCTACTGGCTGATTTCATTTTCTCCTTTTGCAGTTGACCTTCAGGGTCCTCTGTTCCTTGGAACTGGTCGAAAACACACCACGCATTGCCAGGTGCGTGTGGTCAGATACTGTTTCACTCAAATGGTGCTGCACTGCAAAGCATTTAAATTTTTAAAGTTAGCCCCCAACCTTTAAAATCTACAACTTTCACATGAAAGTGTAGATTTCCTTTTTGGTTTTTTTGTTTGTTTGTTTGTTGAGATGGAATCTCACTCTGTCGCCCAGGCTGGGGTGCAGTGACTAGATCTCGGCTCACTGCAACCTCCGCCTCTAAGGTTCAAGAGGTTCTCCTGCCTCAGCCTCCTGAGTAGCTGGGACAACAGGCACAAGCCACTACACCCAGCTAATTTTGTATTTTTAGTAGAGATGGGGTTTCACCATGTTTCCCAGGCTGGTCTTGAACTACTGGCTTCAAGTGATCCACCCACCCCGGCCTCCGAAAGCACTGGGATCACAGGCGTAGCCACCTCACCGAGCCTCGAATGTTTAGATTTCCTGTGTCTTTTATGGTGTCAGAAGATCTGGTCTCCTTGGGCCTGAATACTGGCAGGCAGAGATGGCAGGCCAGTTGAGCAAGGACCTGGCCCCCCACTGCCCAGGGTGGATGAGTGGCTTGGGACAGGCTGGCTCCCCACTTCCGACAACTGTCCTTAGAGGTGAAGTGCAGCTGCCCCACATCTGTCCCTGGGGGGAGCCATGAGCACCACTGAGATACACATCCTTCTTCCTGCAGACCTGAGATCCAAGCTGGAAAGAGGCAGCGCCTGCAGCGGCCGCTCCATCAAGAAAGAGGACGACTCTTCCCAGTCATCCACCTGTGTGGTGGACACCACCACCAGGGGCTGCTCAGAGGAGGCCGCCACCTGGAGAGGTCTGCACCCGGGCTATGGGAGGGGAGTGGGGTGGGCACAAATCCCCAGCCACCGTCTCCCCTGCTGGGTGCAGAGTGCAGACAGAGAAAGAATCTTCCAGGACATTGCAGTCCCGGAGCAGCCAGCAGGTAACCCACCCAGCGCCTCTGAATCCTGGGTCAGGGACTCAGCAGCCAGCATTCCCACCCTTGGGACTCAGGCCCAGATCTGCACAATTCCAGTAGCTTCTGGCCCCAGGCAGCTATTTAAATCAATTGAATTAAATAAAGTTTGAAATGTAGTTCGTGAGCTGCAGTAGCCACATTTCAAGTGCTCAGTAGGCACCTGTGGCCCTTGGCTGCTGTTCTGGCCGGAAGTGCCTAGAGAGCCTGGGTGCTCTGGGGCCATGTGGCACTGGGGCTGCGGCCCCGCACCAGGTACCAAGCTGCCTGGCTCAGATCCCAGTTCTCTGCTCACTGACCGTCGGCACAGGGACAAGAAACCAGATCAGGGGTCCATATCATCACGCCCCAGATGGGGAAGAGGAGATGTGTGTTGAGGGAGATGGACAGATAGCAGGAAGGGCTTTTCCTGGGAAGGTCATTTTGCACTGGCTCTTGAAGCCAGTGCTGCCTCCAAATCAGGCCAGGCTGGAGGGTGGCCTAGCAGCTCGGGGGCCTTGGTGAGAACGCAGGCTGTGGCAGGCTGTGGCAGGTGGACCTGGGCTGGCTGCTTATTCCCTTGGAGGCTTGGGTGGGGGTGCTCCTGCCCCAAACCCCCATGTCCTCATCTGTAAAGTGGCCGTCGTGGTCACTGCCTCGTCGCCTAGGCCCCACCTCATGACAGCCCAGCTCACGGCCTTCCTGGCAGCTCAAGTTAGGAAAAGCTGTGCCTTCAGGGAGGCAGGGATGGAGGGGTCTTTCCTGCTAGGGAAGCCTTTGGCCAAGAGAAGATTTGGGGGTGAGCTTCACCAGCCTGGGTGAGCACCCTGGGTAGAGCCTTAAGCTCCCCACAAACTGCATGTTCTAGGGGGCTGCTCAGCTGCACAGCAACCCCACCCATACCCCATGTTCTAACCAGGACTCTCTACGACCTCACCCACACCCCGTGTTCTGACCAGGCCTCTCCACAGGCCCACCCACACCGCGTGTTCTAACCGGGACTCTGCGGCTTCACCCATACCACATGTTCTGACCGGGTCTCTCCACAGCCCCACCCACACCCCGTGTTCTGACCAGGCCTCTCCACAGGCCCACCCACACCGCGTGTTCTAACCGGGACTCTGCGGCTTCACCCATACCACATGTTCTGACCGGGTCTCTCCACAGCCCCACCCACACCCTGTGTTCTGAGCAGGTCTTCCCCCTCTGCAGGTCGTTTTGGCCCCTCCCTGGTCCGGGGCCTCCTGGCCGTGAGCTTGGCTGCCAACGCCCTCTTCACCTCGGCGTTTCTGTACCAGAGCCTGCGCTGACCCGCCGTCAGAGCCCCTCGGAGGGGAGCAACCCGGTGCCTGCTGCTTCACCACTGCCGGCCTCAGGACCCTCCCTGGAGGGGCTGCCGCCTCTGCCCTCATCTCCAGGGCGCTTGACCTCACTGGACTGTGAGCTGTCCTCAGGACACCTGCCCCTCCTCCCTACCGGACTGTAGGGCTGTGTGTCTGGGGTCACACACTCTGCCTGCCACCTCCTTGGCTGACATCGGTTGTGTTTGGTGCTGACACTGATCCCGAAGCCAGGGAGCCCTAAGGGCTGCATGACCCTGGGGTGCCCCCCATGTTTAGCCCTGCCTGGCAGGGACACCAGTACTACTGTATCTGCAGCAGGAGCTGCCCGGCCTGCCTTCTAGCCCCACGACCACAGGCGTGGTCACATCTGTGTACTGTACTCCCCTGTCCCACCTGGGGCCACCTCAGAGCCCCACTAAGCTGAAGGCCCCCTGGGGAAGAGGGTGGCATGGTCCTTGTTGTCTGCCCCATCTCGCCCCTTCCTGTGGGGTGGGCAGGATGCCCTGGAGCCTCAGAGCTCCCGGGCCTGAGCTGCCAAAGCCCAGCTGGGCTTCCAGGACGAGTGCAGGCCCCTGCCCTGCTCCCCCCTGCCAGATGTTCCCCTGCTTTGTGACCTCTGTTGACCTTCCAGGAAGCAGCCCCATTACCCCCAAGAATGCAGAGCCCTGGCCCGCCTTGCCTCGTGTTTCCAGGCCTGCACGTCTGGTCATTCAGCTCTGCATGGAACTGCAGGGCAGAGTGGCAGGGGGCCTTCAGATCTCAGATGAGACTGCACCCCTTTGCCCACCCTGCTGGGCACCTGCCTCCCTTCAGCCCCTGAGAACCCTGTCCTCCCCTGGTTTTCCGGCCCCACTCCCCTGATGGGGCTCCTTCCTGGCACTGAGAAGGGTCCTCCTGATGCTGTGAGGCAGGGGTAGGGACTGTGCACCCATAGCTATCAGAGCCCCCACCCTCACCCCTGCCATCCCACCCTGGACCTCAACACGAGCCTGGGGCAGTGCGTGTCTGCTGGTCACGTGCTCGTGCTGGCTCTCTCGGTGATCTGAGACTCACTGCAGGGCGGGAGGAAGGGTCTTCACTCTGCCATTCAGGGATAAAGTTTAATTTTATTTTTCTACACATTTTGCCAGGTTGGGCATTTTGCTAGTAAGCAGGATGCCCCCAACTCTCCCTGCCATGGAGGATTCGTTTTTTTAAGCTTTGGGTGCTTTTTTAATACTTTTTTTATGTGGGGAAGGAGTTTGCTCTGACGTCACCCTCCTCTCCCCCGACTCCTGTCCTGAGAGATATGGCTGCTGCCTCCTGCCCTGCCCACCCCCTAAAACGTGGGGGGTGGGGGCCTGGGTGGCCTCAGGACTTTTGAGTCCAGCTGCCAGCAAGGGTTCCAACTCGGAGGCAGCACCTACAGTCCCCATTTTTGTATAGTGGGTGTGTGTGCGTCGAGTTTTTTTTATTTTTTTGCTTAATAAAACCAAACTCCATTCTCCAGTGCCCTTCCTCTCTGGCTCTGAGGGCACTCCCTCCTCTCCGCCAAGCAGCCTGGCCTCTCCTGCCTGGACCTGCGGTCCCAGCACCCCCCAGAGCCAGGGGACAGGCCTGGCAGGAGGGGCTTTTACTTATGTTTTGTTTCAAACAGAAAACACAACCTTATTTTTCTTTACAAAAGCAAAAAAGGAAACCAAAAAAGATAGAGCCTCTGAATCATGCCTGCTGTCTGTATTCGTTTGCTTGGGCCCCTCCCGGGTAGGGTCCCTGCGAAGGGGGACTCTCATCCACTTTCTCTTTCCTCTTCAATGTGGGGCTCTGGGTGTGGGGGGTAGGCACAGTGTCCATGGAGGGGCTTAGGAATTTGAACAGGAGACTCGCTGCCTTGCTGAGTCTGGGCCGGAAGGGCACCCCAGAATTTGCTGTGCAGAGAAGGAAGTGCCCAGGCAGGAAGCACTCAGCTCAGCTCTTCAGAAAAGCCTGACCCCACCCGCCATCCCTGACTGTCCTTTCCCCTGGCTGCAGAGGCCAGGGTCCGCATGTGAAGAACACCTTGTCTTACACCCTGTGACTCCAGCAGCTGGGCTGGGCACCAGCACCTGCGGCCTGTGTGGTACCACTCAGCCCTCTTGGGGCCAGTAGTGCTGACCTGAGGGCCCAGTGCCTTGGCTGGGTGGGAGGCCAGAGAGGGGTCGGAGCTGCTCCACGGCTCCATGCTGAGAGGCGGTGGGGATGGGGAGTGGCGAGGGTGTCACAGCACAAGCTCTGGGGTCACCTTTCTGGCGACGGGCTGCATTTCTGTTGGCTTCAGTTGACTCAGAAGTAACAGGATGGCCGTCCAGGGACCTTTAAGCCACAGCACTATGCAGAGGGAGCCCTACCAAGGTGGGCCTGTCATTTGACCCAGAGCCCAGCAGGCAGGAGGACCACAGCCAGCACACCGGGGGCCGGCTCCCAGGGGCCAGCAGGGCCAACCTGAATTGGACCCTGAGGCAGATGGTGCAGGGCTGGGCCAGCTCCACCCCGCCATCTCAAGGACCCAAGGTCCTCAAGATGTTCTCTGGGGAACATGATGGAACCTGAGGCTCAGACGTCCAGCAGCCCCTTCAGCTCATACCCCGGCCCAGCGTAGAGAGGCCACGTGAAGGCAGCGGAGAGCCGAGCACCGTCAGCCATAAGGTTTTTCCCCAGCTCGAGAGCACCAGTAGTAAAATCAGCTATGGCTTTCTTATCAAAAGGTAACACATTTATGTAGGAAAACTAGGAATAGAAGTGAGCAAAAAAGAAAATGCCCCATAATCCTGGCATTAAGACACTGGCGTCTGCTCTTTGTGGTATTTTGTTTGTTTTGAGACAGGGTCTCGCTGTCACCCAGGCTGGAGTGCAGTGGTGCGATCATAGCTCACTGCAGCCTCAACCTCAGGGGCTCAAACTTTCCTCCCGTCTCAGCCTCCCTAGCAGCTGGGACCACAGGTGCGCACCACCACACCCAGCTAATTTTTGTTGTATTTTTTGTAGAGAAGGTGTTTCTCCATGTTGCCCAGGCTGGTTTTGAACTGAGCTCAGCTTCCCAAAGTCCTGGGATTATAGGTATAAGCCACTGTCCCTGGCCATAATCTTCAGTAGAATGATTTATCTCTCAAGAATTACCCCAAGGGACCAGTGCAGTGGCTCATGACTGTAATCCCAACGCTTTGAGAGGCCGAGGCAGGAGGATCTCTTGAGCCCAGGAGTTTGATAGCACCCTGGGTCATATAGTGAGAACTCGCCTCTACAAAAACATTAAGAAAATTAGCTGGGTGTGGTGGCACATGCCTGTTGTCCCAGCTACTCGGGGAAGCTGAGGTGGGAGGATTGCTTGAGTCCCTGGGAGGTCATGGCCACAGCGAGCTGTGTTTGCACCACTGCCTAGCCGAAGCGATAGAGCAAGGCCCTCCCTCTAAAAAAAAAAAAAAAAAGATGCTAAAGCTATTTGTGTGTTGCACTCCAGAAAGGTACAGAAAATTCGTTTTGTACCTGAACTGAGTTTTGCTTTAGAAACCTGCCCCTGTTCCCAGGCGTCTTCCACAGTTGCAGTTGAAAGGTCATGAGAAGATCAGGAAGGACCTTGGAGAGGTGGAGAGAGGCAGGCAGGGTGCCTGGCACCCCGGCTCTCTAGCAGAGCAGCTCAGTTTTCTTAGGCACGGTTTCACTTAAGGCGAATCTATAAGTTGCAAATGGCAAGAAGCCATCTTGGTTTTGGTGGGTTTTAGCCGGTGTCTTTACTGCAACCTGTTTTATCAGCAAAGTCTTTATGACCTGTGTCTTGTGCCAATCCCCCTTTTTCTGTTTTATAACAGAAATGTCTACTGATTTTTATTTTATTTATTTATTTAGAGATGGAGTCTTGCTCTGTTGCCAGGCTGGAGTGTAGTGGCATGATGCCGGCTCACTGCAACTTCTACCTCCCGGGTTCAAGTGATTCTCCTACTTCAGCCTCCCGAGTAGCTGGGACTACAGGTGCCCAACTGATTTTTGTATTTTTAGTAGAAGTAAGGTTTCACCATGTTGGCCAGGATGGTCTTGATATCTTGACCTTGTGATCTGCCCGCCTCGGCTTCCCAAAGTACTGGAATTACTGGCATGAGCCACCGCGCCTGGCCCTGATTTTAATTTTTTTAAGTTCAAAAACTACAGTAGCTACCACCCACCGTACCAACTAGCCATGTGACACTGGGCCCCTCTGCACAACAGGAAAGGGCCTAGGTGATGCCCCTGTTTCTTCTGAGGGACCATCAGAGGCAGGAACTCTCCCTCCACCTCCACTGTAGATGTCTTCTGTGGGGTCCAGAGGGGCTCCACCACTGCAAAATTCTGTGATAGAAACTGAGGCCATCTTGCTGCAAGGGCAGAGAGAAGTGGGAAAACTTTTCAGTCCTTAAAGGGCTGGGGTGCAGCCCCCTCAGCTTGGTGCCAACTTGGGGTTCTCCACACACCCTTTCACTGGCCCCAAGTGTGCGTGTCCAGCCCCATTCACTGGGTCGGACTGAGCTGGACCACAGTGAAGGAGGGGAGGAATCCGGGATTTCTGCAGCAGGTTCTTTCCTTAGTTCATCCATCCTCAGCCACTGCACAACCATCAATATGGTTCCCCTAGCGTGTGCCAGGCTGTGCTGGGTCCGGGGGATACAATGGAGCAACGCTGAGCTGTCTGTGTCCCAAAGAGCTTACCTCAAGTAGGGGGTCAGACTTGGGCAGATGCACAGATACTCAAAAGTGCAGGAGCCAGGCGTGGTGGCTCATGCCTGTAATCCCAGCACTTTGGGAGGCCAAGGCGGGTGGATCACGAGGTCAGGAGTTCCAGACCAGCCTGGCCAACATGGTGAAACTCCGTCTCTACTAAAGATACACAAAAATTAGCCAGGCTTGGTGGCAGATACCTGTAATCCCAGCTACTTGGGAGGCTGAGACAGGAGAATTACTTGAACCTGGGAGGTGGAGGTTTCAGTGAGCCAAGATCGTGCCATTGCACTCCAGCCTGGGCAATAGGGCAAGACTCCGTCTCAACAAAAAAAAAAAAGTGCAGCAGAGGCCGGACGCAGTGGCTCACACCCACAATCTTAACACTTTGGGAGGCCAAGATGGGCGGATTGAGCTCAGGAGTTTGAGACCAGTCTGGGCAACACAGTGAAACCCCGTCTCTACTAAAATACAAAAAATTAGGCATGGTGGCGCCAAAAAACAAAAGTGCAGCAGAGTGGTGGGAATAGCCGTAGGGTGGAGCTGAAGCTTGAGGCCAGCTGTGGGAGGCTGCTCTAGGTGGGAGGAAGCACTTGTGCAAAGGCCCTGGGGCCAGCTTTCCAGGAACTGAAAGGCTAGTGTGGCAAGAACCACGGTAGGAGGAGGAGGGCAGGGGCCACCCATGAAAGGCCCTCGAAAGCCACTTAGGGATTTTAGGTCTCATCCTAAGAACAAAGGGGAAGACAGAGACAGGAGCAAACTTTGCATTTGCCAAAGACACTCAGCTGAACACGGAGACTGCGCTGGAAGAGCCCAGCAATCAAAGAGCCAGTGGGTGCTGCCAGTAGGCTCGAAGAGCAGATGGGCAACAACCCAGCAGCCCCTGGGGGAGGAGGAGGGGGCCCAAGGTGGCCTCTGGGGTTTTGGACTCACACAGTGGGCTGGGTGGAGGGGACCCTCTAAGGCCTAGGGAAATGCCAGCAGGGGCAGCATGTAGGTTGTCCATTTTGTTTATGAGTTTCGTTTTTTTTTCCTTTTTGGAGACAGAGTCTCGCTCTGTCACCCAGACTGGAGTGCTGTGGCACAGTCTTGGCTCACTGCAGCCGCTGTCCCCTGGGTCCAAGTGATTCTCAGCCCTCGGCTTTCCAAGTAGCTGGAACTACAGGCGCCTGTGCCATGCCCAGCTAATTAAAAAAATCTGGGGCTGGGTGCAGTAGCTCATGCCTATAATCCTAGCACTTTGGGAGGCCGAGGCAGGCAGATCACCTGAAGTGAGGAGTTCTAGATCAGCCTGGCCAACCATGGCCAACATGGTAAAACTCCATCTCTACTAGAAATACAAAACTTAGCCAGGCGAGGTGGTGCACACCTGTAATTCCAGCTACTTAGGAGTCTGAGTCAGGAGAATTGGTTGAACCCAGGAGACAGAGTTTGCAGTGTGCCAAGGTCACGCCACTGCTCTCCAGCCTGGGCGACAGAGCAAGATTCTGTCTCAAAAGAAAAAGAAGAGAAAAATTTTGTATTTTTTTAGTGCAGGCAGTGTTTCACCATGTAGGCTAGGCTGTCAACTTAGTTTTGAGCATCTGCACTGGCTGGTTCAGAGACACCCACTGGAGTCCTCCACTCTCTGTTCCCTGCCTGGAACCTGCACAGCCACACAGCACTCACCTCTTATCCTTCAGTTCTCATCCTAAATGGCCACCCACCACCTGTGTGAGCCTTTCCCCCATTCTCTCAATATCTGAGAGTCACTTCCACTAAATCAGGGCTGTGCTGTGATTGCCTAGTGACTGCTGGGCTGTGTGCCTCCCCCGTTAGAATGTCATTTCCATGAGTGCAGGGATGTTGGTTCATAGTTGAGGCCCATTAAACATTAAATGAATGGTTGAATGAAATGTCCCTTAGCCATGTGCAGACATCTCCATGTCTAAGCTCTGAGGAGAGGTGACAGGAGGGACATGTGTCTGGGGCTCTGAAGCCAGGGTGGGAGCGGTGAGCTGCA